CTGAACACCGGGAAATCACCCCAAAAACACGGGAAAATTATTCACAACAACGTCCCCTGAACACCGGGAAATCACCCCAAAAACACGGGAAAATTATTCACAACAACATCCCCTGAACACCGGGAAATCACCCCAAAAACACGGGAAAATTATACTGGGAAGGGGAGAAAAAATCCTGAAAAATTACGCCCCAGAATGGGGAAAAATGCCCAAAAATTTCCCTCAGAAACGGGGGAAAAAAGTCCCAAAAAGAATTCCCAAAAAATCCCATCTGGGAATGGGGCAAACGGCCCAAAAATTCCTGGGATTTGGGGCCGGAATTCCAGGAATTCCCATGGAAAGTGGGAAAAAACCCAAAAATTCACCTGACAATGGGGAGAAGACCCCAAAACCAATCCTGGAATTTTTCGCCGTCGCTCCAGGAAATCCCCATTGACTCCTGAGCCCTTTGGGGCGTCCCGAGGGGGAAAATCCCGGGATTTGGGGTGGGAATTCCAGGAATTCCCATGGAAAGTGGCAAAAAACCCCAAAACGTCACCCAAGAATGGGAAAAGACCCCAAAACATCCCTGGGAACGGCGAGAAGACCCCAAAAGCCAACATAGGATTTTGGCCAAATCCCCGTTGACTCCCGAGCCCTTTGGGGTGTCCCGAGGGGGAAAATCCCGGGATTTGGGGCCGGAATTCCAGGAATTCCCATGGAAAGTGGGAAAAAACCCAAAAATTCACCTGACAATGGGGAGAAGACCCCAAAACCAATCCTGGAATTTTTCGCCGTCGCTCCAGGAAGTCCCCATTGACTCCTGAGCCCTTTGGGGCGTCCCGAGGGGGAAAATCCCGGGATTTGGGGTGGGAATTCCAGGAATTCCCATGGAAAGTGGGAAAAAACCCCAAAACGTCACCCAAGAATGGGAAAAGACCCCAAAACATCCCCTGGGAACGGCGAGAAGACCCCAAAACCAATCCTGGAATTTTTCGCCATCGCTCCAGGAAATCCCCATTGACTCCCGAGCCTTTGGGGCGTCCCAGGGGTGAAATTCCCGGGATTTGGGGCCGGAATTTGGGAATTCCGGCGGGGACCACCTGACAGGTAGGCCTGGTCGCCCTTGGCCAGCACGTCGTGCGCGATCTTGCTGCGCGTGGCGCCGGCGCTGACGTAGCCGTCGAAGCGGCGCAGGGGGTCCCGCTGGTCGATGCGGCCCACCAGCAGGCCGGGCTCTCCTGGAATGGGAACGGGATCCCAAAATCCGTGGGAAAAATGGGAATGGGATCATGGAATCCATGGGGAAATGGGAATGGGGTCCCAAATTCCCAGGGAAATGGGAATGGGGTCCCAAAATTCAAGGGGAAATGGGAATGGGATCATGGAATCCATGGGGAAATGGGAATGGGGTCCCAAATTCCAGGGAAATGGGAATGGGGTCCCAAAATTCAAGGGGAAATGGGAATGGGATCATGGAATCCATGGGGAAATGGAATGGGGTCCCAAATTCCATGGGGAAATGGGAATGGGATCATGGAATCCATGGGGAAATGGGAATGGGATCATGGAATCCATGGGGAATGGGAATGGGATCCCAAAATCCATGGGGAAATGGGAATGGGATCATGGAATCCATGGGGAAATGGGAATGGGATCATGGAATCCATGGGGAATGGGAATGGGATCCCAAAATCCATGGGGAAATGGGAATGGGATCCCAAATCCCCAGGGAATGGGAATGGGATCATGGAATCCATGGGGAAATGGGAATGGGGTCCCAAATCCCCAGGGAAATGGGAATGGGATCCCAAATCCATGGGAAAACTGGGAATGGGATCATGGAATCCATGGGAATGGGAATGGGGTCCCAAATTCCATGGGGAAATGGGAATGGGATCATGGAATCCATGGGGAAATGGGAATGGGATCCCAAAATTCGTGGGAAATGGGAATGGGATTGTGGAATCCATGGGGAATGGGAATGGGGTCCCAAAATCCATGGGGAAATGGGAATGGGATCATGGAATCCATGGGGAATGGGAATGGGATCCCAAATTCCATGGGGAAATGGGAATGGGATCATGGAATCCATGGGGAATGGGAATGGGATCATGGAATCCATGGGGAAATGGGAATGGGATCATGGAATCCATGGGGAATGGGAATGGGGTCCCAAATTCCATGGGGAAATGGGAATGGGGTCCCAAATCCCCAGGGAAATGGGAATGGGATCCCAAATCCATGGGAAAACTGGGAATGGGATCATGGAATCCATGGGGAATGGGAATGGGGTCCCAAATTCCATGGGGAAATGGGAATGGGATCATGGAATCCATGGGGAAATGGGAATGGGGTCCCAAAATTCGTGGGAAATGGGAATGGGATTGTGGAATCCATGGGGAATGGGAATGGGGTCCCAAAATCCATGGGAAATGGGAATGGGGTCCCAAATTCCATGGGGAAATGGGAATGGGGTCCCAAATTCCATGGGGAAATGGGAATGGGATCCCAAATTCCATGGGGAAATGGGAATGGGGTCCCAAATTCCATGGGGAAATGGGAATGGGATCATGGAATCCATGGGGAATGGGAATGGGATCCCAAATTCCATGGGAAAAATGGGAATGGGATCATGGAATCCATGGGAAAATGGGAATTCCATCCCAAAATCCATGGGGAAATGGGAATGGGATCCCAAATTCCATGGGGAAATGGGAATGGGATCATGGAATCCATGGGGAAATGGGAATGGGATCCCAAAATCCAGGGGAAATGGGAATGGGATCCCAAATTCCATGGGGAAATGGGAATGGGGTCCCAAATTCCATGGGAAATGGGAATGGGATCACGGAATTCATGGGAAATGGGAATGGGATCACAGAATTCATGGGAAATGGGAATTCCATCCCAAAACCCCCAAGGAAATGGGAATGGGATCCCGGAATCCATGGGAAATATTTGGGATCAGCTCCAGATGACCCCAGAAATTTATGGGAATGACAAAGGAATGACCCCAAATTTTTTGGGATCGAGTCAAGACGACCCCAAATTTTTTGGGATTGAACTAAGAGGACCCCAAAATTTAGGAGATCCACTCGATATGACGCCAAAATTTATGGGAATGGCAGAAAACTACCTCAAATTTTTCGGTATCAACTCAAGATAACCCCAAAATTTATGGGATCAACTCAAAATGACCCCAAATTTTTTGGCACCAACCCCATCCAACCCCGAGCCCTTTGGGATTCCCCAACTCCTGCCCCCAATCCCAGGTGGAAAATCCCATTTGGGACCCCCAAACCCTGGGGAATGCCCAATTTTTTGGGGCCAAAAAGGGGATTTTTGGTTCCATTTTGGGATCAACTCGAAATGACCCCAAATTTTACGGGATCAACTCAAAATGACCCCAAAATTTACGTGTATGGAAGAGAATGACCCCAAAATTCATGGGATCAACTCAAGATGACCCCAAATTTTACGGGATCAACTGAAAATAACCCCAAAATTTATGGACATGGGAGTAAATGACCCAAAATTTTTTTGGGATCAACTCAAAATGACCCCAAATTTTTTGGACCAACCCGGAGCCCTTTGGGATTCCCCAACTCCTGCCCCCAATCCCGGGTGGAAAATCCCATTTGGGACCCCCAAACCCTGGGGAATGCCCAATTTTTTGGGGCTAAAAAGGGGATTTTTGGTGAATTTTGGGATCAACTCGAAATGACCCCAAATTTTACGGGATCAACTCAAGATGACCCCAAAATTTATGGGAATGGCAGAGAATTACCTCAAATTTTTTGGGGTCAACTCAAAATGACCCCAAAATTTACGTGTATGGAAGAGAATGACCCCAAAATTTATGGGATCAACTCAAGATGACCCCAAATTTTACTGGATCTACTGAAAATACCCCCAAAATTTATGGACATGGGAGTAAATGACCCAAAATTTTTTTGGGATCAACTCAAAAGGACCCCAAATTTTACGGGATCAACTGAAAATAACCCCAAAATTTATGGACATGGGAGTAAATGACCCAAAATTTTTTGGGATCAACTCGAAATGACCCCAAATTTTATGGGATCAACTCAAAATGACCCCAAAATTTATGGGAATGGAAGAGAATGACCCCAAAATTCATGGGATCAACTCAAGATGACCCCAAATTTTACTTTACGGGATCTACTGAAAATACCCCCAAAATTTATGGACATGGGAGTAAATGACCCAAAATTTTTTGGGATCAACTCAAAATGACCCCAAATTTTTTGGACCAACCCCGAGCCCTTTGGATTTCCCAACTCCTGCCCCCAATCCTGGGTGGAAAATCCCATTTGGGACCCCCAAACCCTGGGGAATGCCCAATTATTTTGGGGCCAAAAAGGGGATTTTTGGTTCCATTTTGGATCAACTCGAAATGACCCCAAATTTTACGGGATCAACTCAAAATAACCCAAAATTTATGTGTATGGAAGAGAATGACCCCAAAATTTATGGGATCAACTCAAGATGACCCCAATTTTTACGGGATCTACTGAAAATAACCCCAAAATTTATGGACATGGGAGTAAATTACCCTAATTTTTTTGGATCAACTCGAAAGGACCCCAAATTTTACGGGATCAGCTCAAAATGACCCCAAAATTTATGGGAATGGAAGAGAATGACCCCAAAATTCATGGGATCAACTCAAGATGACCCCAAATTTTACTGGATCTACTGAAAATAACCCCAAAATTTATGGACATGGGAGTAAATGACCCAAAATTTTTTTGGGATCAACTCGAAATGACCCCAAATTTTACGGGATCAGCTCAAAATGACCCCAAAATTTATGGGAATGGCAGAAAACTACCTCAAATTTTTGGGCTCAACTCAAAATGACCCCAAAATTTATGGGATCTGCTCAAGACAACCCCAAATTTTTTTGGGATCAACTCAAAATGACCCCAAATTTTTTGGACCAACCCGGAGCCCTTTGGGATTCCCCAACTCCTGCCCCCAATCCCGGGTGGAAAATCCCATTTGGGACCCCCAAACCCTGGGGAATGCCCAATTTTTTGGGGCTAAAAAGGGGATTTTTGGTTCAATTTTGGGATCAACTCGAAATGACCCCAAATTTTACGGGATCAGCTCAAAATGACCCCAAAATTTATGGGAATGGAAGAGAATGACCCCAAAATTCATGGGATCAACTCAAGATGACCCCAAATTTTACTGGATCTACTGAAAATAACCCCAAAATTTATGGACATGGGAGTAAATTACCCTAAATTTTTTTGGGATCAACTCGAAAGGACCCCAAATTTTACGGGATCAGCTCAAAATGACCCCAAAATTTACGTGTATGGAAGAGAATGACCCCAAAATTCATGGGATCAACTCAAGATGACCCCAAATTTTACGGGATCTACTGAAAATAACCCCAAAATTTATGGACATGGGAGTAAATTACCCTAAATTTTTTTGGGATCAACTCGAAAGGACCCCAAATTTTACGGGATCAGCTCAAAATGACCCCAAAATTTATGGGAATGGAAGAGAATGACCCCAAAATTCATGGGATCAACTCAAGATGACCCCAAATTTTACTGGATCTACTGAAAATAACCCCAAAATTTATGGACATGGGAGTAAATGACCCAAAATTTTTTTGGGATCAACTCGAAATGACCCCAAATTTTACGGGATCAGCTCAAAATGACCCCAAAATTTATGGGAATGGCAGAAAACTACCTCAAATTTTTGGGCTCAACTCAAAATGACCCCAAAATTTATGGGATCTGCTCAAGACAACCCCAAATTTTTTTGGGATCAACTCAAAATGACCCCAAATTTTTTGGACCAACCCGGAGCCCTTTGGGATTCCCCAACTCCTGCCCCCAATCCCGGGTGGAAAATCCCATTTGGGACCCCCAAACCCTGGGGAATGCCCAATTTTTTGGGGCTAAAAAGGGGATTTTTGGTTCAATTTTGGGATCAACTCGAAATGACCCCAAATTTTACTGGATCAACTCAAAATAACCCCAAAATTTACGTGTATGGAAGAGAATGACCCCAAAATTTATGGGATCAACTCAAGATGACCCCAAATTTTACGGGATCTACTGAAAATAACCCCAAAATTTATGGACATGGGAGTAAATTACCCTAAATTTTTTTGGGATCAACTCGAAAGGACCCCAAATTTTACGGGATCAGCTCAAAATGACCCCAAAATTTATGGGAATGGCAGAAAACTACCTCAAATTTTTGGGCTCAATTCAAAATGACCCCAAAATTTATGGGACCTGCTCAAGACAACCCCAAATTTTTTTGGGATCAACTCAAAATAATCCCAAAATTTACGGCACCAACCCGGAGCCCTTTGGGATTCCCCAACTCCTGCCCCCAATCCCGGGTGGAAAATCCCATTTGGGACCCCCAAACCCTGGGGAATGCCCAATTTTTTGGGGCTAAAAAGGGGATTTTTGGTGAATTTTGGGATCAACTCGAAATGACCCCAAATTTTATGGGATCAACTCAAGATGACCCCAAAATTTATGGGAATGGCAGAGAATTACCTCAAATTTTTTGGGGTCAACTCAAAATGACCCCAAAATTTACGTGTATGGAAGAGAATGACCCCAAAATTTATGGGATCAACTCAAGATGACCCCAAATTTTACTGGATCTACTGAAAATAACCCCAAAATTTATGGACATGGGAGTAAATGACCCAAAATTTTTTTGGGATCAACTCAAAAGGACCCCAAATTTTTTGGACCAACCCGGAGCCCTTTGGGATTCCCCAACTCCTGCCCCCAATCCCGGGTGGAAAATCCCATTTGGGACCCCCAAACCCTGGGGAATGCCCAATTTTTTGGGGCCAAAAAGGGGATTTTTGGTGAATTTTGGGGTTTTGGGGCCCACCTGGGGCGCAGGGGATGCAGAGGCCGCGGGAATCCCGGAGCAGCTCCAGCGAGTCCGGACGGACGCGGAGCAGCCGAACGGGGTAAACGTTGGGCAGGAGGCGGCTGTTGAACCCACAGGCGCCCACCTGGGAGGGAAAAATTGTTATAAAATGGGAAATTTAAAAAAAAAAAGGGGAAATTTAAAAAAAAAATGGGGAAATTTAAAAAAAAAATGGAGAAAATCGGTTGAGAAATGGGGGAATTAGGGGAAAGAAATGGGGAAAAACGGCTGAAAAATGGCGGAGAAATGGGGAAAAAGCTGCACAAAAATGGGGAAAATCAGGCGAGAAATTGAGAAAAATGGGGGAGAAATGGGGGAAATTTATTAAAAAATGGGAAATTAAAAAAAAAGGGAAATTAAAAAAAATAAAGGAGAAAATCGGGCGAGAAATGGGGGAAAACGGCCGAAAAATGGGGAAAATGTTGGGCAGGAGGCGGCTGTTGAACCCACAGGCGCCCACCTGGGAGGGAAAAATTGTTATAAAATGGGAAATTAAAAAAAAAATGGGGAAATTTTAAAAAAAAATGGAGAAAATCGGTTGAGAAATGGGGGAATTAGGGGAAAGAAATGGGGAAAAACGGCTGAAAAATGGCTGAGAAATGGGGAAAAAGCTGCACAAAAACGGGGAAAATCAGGCGAGAAATTGAGAAAAATGGGGGAGAAATGGGGGAAATTTATTAAAAAATGGGAAATTTAAAAAAAAAAGGGAAATTAAAAAAAAATAAAGGAGAAAATCGGGAGAGAAATGGGGGAATTACGGGAAAAAAATGGGGAAAATCGGCCCAAAAATGGTGGAAAAATGGCTGAGAAATGGGGAAAAAGCTGCACAAAAATGGGGAAAATCAGGGGAGAAATTGAGAAAAATGGGGGAGAAATGGGGGAAATTTATCATAAAAAGGGAAATTAAAAAAAAAAAGGGAAATTAAAAAATTGAGAAAATCAGGAGAGAAATGGGGGAATTAGGAAAAAAAAAGGGGAATTTTTAAACAAGTTTTGGACCCATTTTTTCCCTTTTTTTTCCCTTTTTTTCCCACCTTCAGTTTTTTTCCAATTTTTTCCGGATTTTTTCTGTATTTTTGAGGGATTTTCCCCCAGTTTTCCCACCTTCAGTTGCACTCGGTGGCCCCGTAAAACTCCCATTTTTTTCCCATTTTTTCCCCATTTCTTTGCCATTTTTTGCCCATTTCCCCCCCAATTTTTCCCCAATCTCTCCCCAGTTTTTCCCCATTTTTTTTTAGGATATTTTTTTCATTTTTCCCCATTTTCTCTCACCTTCCCATCGAGGTTGGCCACGCTGCGGTTGCACTTGCTGGCCCTGTAGAACTCCCATTTTTTAAGGGATTTTTCCCCCGTTTTTTGCCCGTTTTTTCTCCATTTTCCCCTCGATTTTTGAGGCGATTTTTTCCACATTTTTTGCCCATTTTTCCCCAATTTTTCCCCATTTTTTCCCCACCTTCCCGTCAAGGTTGGCCACGCTGCAGTTGCATTTGGTGGCGCCATAGAACTCCCATTTTTTACCCCATTTTATTCTCATTTTTCGCCTGTTTTTCCTTGATTACTCCCCCATATTTTCCCCAATTTTTGGGGGATTTTTTCCAGATTTTTTCCCCATTTTTCCCCATTTTCTCTGACCTTGCCGTCAAGGTTGGCCACGCTGCAGTTGCACTCGGTGGCGCCGTAGAACTCCCATTTTTAAGGGATTTTTCCTCAATTACTCCCCCATATTTTCCCCAATCTTTTCCCGATTTTTCCCAGATTTTTTGCCCATTTTTCCCATTTTTCTCCTAATTTTACCCCACCCTTCCATCGAGGTTGGCCACGCTGCAGTTGCACTCGGTGGCGCCGTAGAACTCCCATTTTTAAGGGATTTTTTCCCTGTTTTTTTCCCATTTTTCCCCCGTTTTTTCCCCAATCTTTTCCCAATTTTGGGGGGATTTTTTTGGGGATTTTTGTGGATATTTTGGGTATTTTCCCCACCTTTCCATCGAGGTTGGCCACGCTGCAGTTGCACTCGGTGGCGCCGTAGAACTCCCATTTTTAAGGGATTTTTTCCCTGTTTTTTTCCCATTATTCCCCTGATTTTCCCCAATCTTTTCCCAATTTTGGGGGGATTTTTTTTGGGGATTTTTGTGGATATTTTGGGTATTTTCTCTGACCTTTCCATCGAGGTTGGCCACGCTGCAGTTGCACTCGGTGGCGCCGTAGAACTCCCATTTTTAAGGGATTTTTTCCCTGTTTTTTTCCCATTTTTCCCCCGTTTTTTCCCCAATCTTTTCCCAATTTTGGGGGATTTTTTTGGGGATTTTTGTGGATATTTTGAGTATTTTCTCTGACCTTTCCATCGAGGTTGGCCACGCTGCAGTTGCACTCGGTGGCGCCGTAGAACTCCCATTTTTAAGGGATTTTTTCCCCGTTTTTTGCCCATTATTCCCCTGTTTTTTCCCCAATCTTTTCCCAATTTTGGGGGGATTTTTGGGGGGATTTTTGGGGATATTTTGGGTATTTTCTCTGACCTTTCCATCGAGGTTGGCCACGCTGCAGTTGCACTCGGTGGCGCCGTAGAACTCCCATTTTTAAGGGATTTTTTCCCTGTTTTTTTCCCATTATTCCCCTGATTTTCCCCAATCTTTTCCCAATTTTGGGGGGATTTTTTTTGGGGATTTTTGTGGATATTTTGGGTATTTTCTCTGACCTTTCCATCGAGGTTGGCCACGCTGCAGTTGCACTCGGTGGCGCCGTAGAACTCCCATTTTTAAGGGATTTTTTCCCTGTTTTTTGCCCATTATTCCCCCGTTTTTTCCCCAATCTTTTCCCAATTTTGGGGGGATTTTTTTGGGGATTTTTGTGGATATTTTGGGTATTTTCTCTGACCTTTCCATCGAGGTTGGCCACGCTGCAGTTGCACTCGGTGGCCCTGTAGAACTCCCATTTTTTCCCGTGTTTTCCCCGTGTTTCCTCAATTACTCCCCCACATTTTCCCCAATCTTTTCCTGATTTTTCCCAGATTTTTTGCCCATTTTTCCCCATTTTTTCCCCACCTTTCCGTCGAGGTTGGCCACGCTGCAGTTGCACTCGGTGGCCCTGTAGAACTCCCATTTTTAGCCCATTTTTCCTCAATTTCTCCCCCATATTTTCCCCAATTTTTTCCCAATTTTGGGGGGATTTTTGTGGATATTTTGGGTATTTTCCCCACCTTTCCATCGAGGTTGGCCACGCTGCAGTTGCACTCGGTGGCGCCGTAGAACTCCCATTTTTAAGGGATTTTTTCCCTGTTTTTTTCCCATTTTTCCCCCGTTTTTTCCCCAATCTTTTCCCAATTTTGGGGGGATTTTTTTTGGGGATTTTTGTGGATATTTTGGGTATTTTCTCTGACCTTTCCGTCGAGGTTGGCCACGCTGCAGTTGCACTCGGTGGCGCCGTAGAACTCGCCGATGCGGGCGATGCCGAAGCGTTCGCGGAACGGCGCCCAGAGCGGCGCCCGCAGCCCATTGCCCACGGCCAAACGCACCCGGTGCCGGCGCTCGGCCTCGCGGCGCGGCTGGGCCAGCAGGTACCGGCACAGCTCCCCGATGTACTGCACCACCTACATGGGAAATGGGGAGAAAAGTGAAAAATTTGGGGTTTGGGGGTGAAAAAATGGAGTTTTGGGGTGAAAAAATGGGGTTTTGGGGTGAAAAAATGGGGTTTGGAGTCAGTCACAGGCTGGGCCAGCAGGTACCGGCACAGCTCCCGATGCACTGCACCACCTAAAGGGGAAAATGGGGGGAAAATACAGGATTTTGGTAAAAAATGCCAAAACAAAAGAGGATTTTCAGCAAAAAATCCCCAAAAAAATGGGATTTTGGGGTCAAAAAATGGGGTTTGGAGTCAGTCACAGGCTGGGCCAGCAGGTACCGGCACAGCTCCCCGATGCACTGCACCACCTAAAGGGGGAATTGGGGAGAAAAGTGAAAAATTTGGGGTTTGGGGTGTGAAAAATGGAGTTTTGGGGTGAAAAAATGGGATTTTGGGGTGAAAAATCACTAAAAATTGGGATTTGTGTGATGGCCAAGCTGGGCCAGCAGGCACCGGCACAGCTCCCCGATGTACTGCACCACCTGGGGGAGAAATTGGGGAAAAAGTAAAAAAATTGGATTTTTGGGTGAAAAAATGGAGTTTTGGGGTGAAAAAATGGATTTTGGGGTGAAAAAATCACTAAAAATTGGGATTTAGAGTTGGTCACGGGCTGGGCCAGCAGGCACCGGCACAGCTCCCCGATGCACTGCACCACCTAAAGGGGGAAAATGGGGAAAAAAGTGAAAAATTTGGGTTTTGGGGTGAAAAAATGGAGTTTTGGGGTGAAAAAATGGGATTTTGGGGCAAAAAATCACTAAAAATTGGGATTTAGAGTTGGTCACGGGCTGGGCCAGCAGGTACCGGCACAGCTCCCTGATGTACTGCACCACCTGGGGAGAAATTGGGGGAAAAAGAAAGGATTTTGGTAAAAAATTGCCAAAAAAAATGGCATTGGGGGGAAAAATCCCGGAAAAAATGGGATTTTGGGGTGAAAAAAATGGGATTTTCGGGCAAAAAATCACTCAAAAATGGGATTTGGATCAGTCAACGCCGGGGCCAGCAGGTACTGGCACAGCTCCGCCATGGACTGCACCACATACAGGGAAATTGGGAAAAAAAACGGGATTTAGGGAAAAATGCCAAAAACAAAGGGGAGAAAATGGGGGAAAATGAAGGAAAAACCAGAAAAAATGTGAAAAATGGGAAAATGGGGAAAAATGGGGGGAAAACGAAGGAAAGATGGGAGAAAAATGGAAAAAGTGGAGGAAAAAAAAAGAGGGAAAAATGGATGGAAAATGAGAGAAAAAATGGAAAAAAATTGCGAATAAAATGGGGGGGGAATGGAGGAAAAAGGTGGGAAAAATAGGGGAAAAATGAAGGAAACATTAGGGAAAAAATGGAGAAAAATGGAGAAAAAAATGTGGGAAAATGGAGAAAAAATAGGGGAAAATGAAAAGAAAAATTAGGGAAAATGGAAAAAGCACAGAAAAAATGGGGGAAAATGAGGCGGGAAATGGGGGAACTGAAGGAAAAATGGCACAAATGTGGAAAAATGTGGGGAAAATATGGGGAAAATGGGGGAAAACGAAGGAAAAATTAGATAAAAAATGGAGAAAAATGGAGAAAAAAATGGGGAAAATGGGGGGAAAATGAGGGGAAAAAAGGGGAAATGGGGCAGAAAAGGGGAAAATGGGGAAAAAAGAGGAAGAAAAGGGGAAATCCGTGGATTTTGGGGCTCACCGTGCAGCGATATTTGACACAATCGTCCCAAAATCTGGAGGCCGAGAATTTCCTGCGGATGACGACGGTGAGGCCGTGCAGGAGGCACTGCCCCACCCCCAGGATGTTCCCTGGAAATCGGGAAAATTTGGGAAAATTTGGGGTAAATTCGGGTTTTTGGGGTGTTTTGGGGTGGGTCAGGGACTGCCCCAGCCCCAGGATGTTCCCTGGAAAATTCCAGAAAATTTGGGAAAATTTGGGGTAAATTTGGGGTGGGTCAGGCACTGCCCCACCCCCTGGATGTTCCCTGGAAAATTCCAGAAAATTTGGGGTAAATTTGGGGTGTTTGGGGTGGGTCAGGGGCTCCCCCACCCCCTGGATGTTCCCTGGAAAATTCCAGAAAATTTGGGAAAATTTGGGGTAAATTCGGGGTTTTTGGGATGTTTGGGGTGGGTCAGGAGCTGCCCCACACCCAGGATTTTTCCTGGAAATTCCAGGTAAAATTGGGGTAAATTTGGGGCAAATTTGGGTTAAATTCAGGATAAATTCGGGGTAAATTTGGGGTCAATTTGGGGTTTTTGGGGTGTTTGGGGTGGGTCAGGGGCTCCCCCCACCCCCAGGATGTTCCCTGGAAATCGGGAAAATTTGGGGTCAATTTGGGGCGGATTTGGGATAAATTTGGGGTGGATTCAGGTTAAATTCAGGTTATATTTGGGATAAATTTGGGAAAAATTTGGGATGTTTGGGGTGGGTCAGGAGCTGCCCAACACCAGGATGTTCCATGGAATATTTGGGGTAAAATTGGGATAAATTCAGGATAAAATTGGGATAAATTTGGGGTAAATTTGGGTTCAATTCAGGGTAAATTTGGGGTGGATTTGGGATAAATTTCGGATATTTGGGGTGGGCCAGGCACTGCCAGCACCCAGGATGTTTCCTGGAACATTCCAGAACAAATTGGGATCAATTTGGGATAAATTTGGGTGGATTTGGGATAAATTTGGGATATTTGGGGTGTTTGGGATGGGTCTGGCACTGCCCACCCCAGGATGTTCTCTGAAAAATTGGGGTAAATTTGGGGTCAATTTCGGATAAAATTGGGATAAATTCCAGATATATGGGGGTAAATTTAGGATGGATTTGGGATAAATTTGGGGTGGATTTAGGATGGATTTGGGATAAATTTCGGGACACATTTGGGGTAAATTCGGGATATTTGGAGTGTTTGGGATGGGTCCGGCATCCAACACCCAGGATGTTCCCTGAAAAATTGGGGTCAATTTGGGACAAAATTGGGATAAATTCCAGATATATTGGGGTAAATTCGCGGTAAATTCCAGATATACTGGGGTGAATTTGAGGTAAATTGGGGATAAATTTGGGGTGGATTTGAGATAAATTTGGGGTGGATTTGGGATAAATTTGGGGTGGATTTGAGATAAATTTGGGGTGGATTTGAGATACATTTGGGACACATTTGAGGTAAATTTTGGATATTTGGGTTGTTTGGGATGGATCCAGCACTGCCCAACCCCCAGGATGTTCCATGGAACATTCCAGAACAAATTGGGATAAATTTGGGATACATTTGGGATCAATTCGGGGTAAATTTGGGGTGGATTTGGGGTGGAAGAAGGGAGAAGGAGGAGGAGGAGACAGGAAGAGGGAAAGGAAATGGAGAAAATAAAACAGGAATGGAAATGGGAAAGGAGGAAGAGGAGGAGGAGGAGGAGAGGAAGGGAAGAAGAAGGAGGAGGAGGAAGAGGAAGGAGAGGAGGAGGAAGAGATAGAGGAGGAAGAGAGGAAGAGGAAGAGGAGGAGGAGAGGGAGAGGAAGAGGAGCAAGAGAAGGAGGAAGAGGAAGAAGAGATAGAGGAAGAGGAGGAAAAGGAGGAGAGGAGGAGGAAGAGGAAGGGGAGGAGGAAGGAGAGGAGGAGGAAGAGGAGGAGCAAGAGAAGGAAGAGAGAAAGAAAAGAGGAAGAAGAGGAAGAGGAGGAAGAAGAGGAAGAGGAGAACGAGACGAGGACGAGGATGAGGACGATGAGGAGGAAGCAGCACCTGCAGAGTGGTAGAGCGGCAGGCAGGTGTAGATGACGTCATCGGGGCGCATCCGGAAGGCGAAATAACCAAAGGCGGCGATGCGGAAATACCTGGGGGGGGAGGGGCACAGCTGGAGACACCTGAGATACACCTGGGCACAGCTGGGCACAGCTGGAGGCACCTGAGATACACCTGGGCACAGCTGGGCACAGCTGGAGTACCTGAGATACACCTGGGCACAGCTGGGCACAGCTGGAGACACCTGAGATACACTGGGCACAGCTGGGCACAGCTGGGGACACCTGAGATACACCTGGGCACAGCTGGGCACAGCTGGAGAAACCTGAGATACACCTGGGCACAGCTGGGCACAGCTGGAGGCACCTGAGATACACCTGGGCACAGCTGGGCACAGCTGGGGACACCTGAGATACACCTGGGCACAGCTGGGCACAGCTGGGCACAGCTGGAGACACCTGAGATACACCTGGGCACAGCTGGGCACAGCTGGAGGCACCTGAGATACACCTGGGCACAGCTGGAGTACCTGAGATACACCTGGGCACAGCTGGGCACAGCTGGAGACACCTGAGATACACCTGGGCACAGCTGGGCACAGCTGGAGGCACCTGAGATACACCTGGGCACAGCTGGAGACACCTGAGATACACCTGGGCACAGCTGGGCACAGCTGGAGACACCTGAGATACACCTGGGCACAGCTGGGCACAGCTGGAGGCACCTGAGATACACCTGGGCACAGCTGGAGTACCTGAGATACACCTGGGCACAGCTGGGCACAGCTGGAGTACCTGAGATACACCTGGGCAAACCTGGGACACCCATGGCCACACCCACCGCTGACCACACCCATCCATGGCCACACCCATTGATGACCACACCCATGACCAGCCCATTCCCAACCACATCCACAATCACACCCACCAATGACCACACCCACCAATGACCACACCCACCAATGACCACACCCACCATTGACCACACCCACCATTGACCACACCCACCAATGACCACACCCACCATTGACCACACCCACCATTGACCACAACCCACCCCTGACCACACCAATGACCACACCAGTCACAGGCCACGCCCACCAATGACCACACCCACCAATGACCACACCCACCAATGATCACACCCACCATTGACCACACCAGTCACAGGCCACGCCCACCAATGACCACACCCACCAATGACCACACCCACCAATGAACACACCCACCATTGACCACACCAGTCACAGGCCACGCCCACCAATGACCACACCCACCAATGACCACACCAGTCACAGGCCACGCCCACCAATGACCACACCCACCAATGACCACACCCATCCATGGCCACACCAGTCACAGGCCACACCCACCATTGACCACACTCACCAATGACCACACCAGTCACAGGCCACACCCACCAATGACCACACCCACCAATGACCACACTCACCATTGACCACACCAGTCACAGGCCACACCCACCAATGACCACACCCACCAATGACCACACCAGTCACAGGCCACGCCCACCAATGACCACACCCACCAATGACCACACCAGTCACAGGCCACGCCCACCAATGACCACACCCACCAATGACCACACCAGTCACAGGCCACACCCACCATTGACCACACCCACCAATGACCACGCCCACCAATGACCACACCCACCAATGACCACACCAGTCACAGGCCACACCCACCAATGACCACACCCACCAATGACCACACCAGTCACAGGCCACACCCACCAAAGACCACACCCACCAATGACCACACCAGTCACAGGCCACGCCCACCAATGACCACACCCACCAATGACCACACTAGTCACAGGCCACGCCCACCAATGACCACACCCACCAATGACCACACCAGTCACAGGCCACACCCACCAAAGACCACACCCACCATTGACCACACCAGTCACAGGCCACACCCACCAATGACCACACCCACCAATGACCACACCAGTCACAGGCCACACCCACCAATGACCACACCCACTGCTGCCCACACCCATCATTGACCACACCACGACCACACCCATCAACGACCACACCCACGACCACGCCCACCAATTACCACACCCATTCCTGACCACACCCATCAATGACCACGCCCATAACCGCCCACACCGTGAGCACACCCACCAATGAGACCACGCCCATGGCCACACCCATTGCTGGCCACACCCATTGCTGGCCACGCCCGTGGCCACGCCCAGCCCGGCCCCGCCCCCGGCCCCGCCCTCACCTGCTGTGCACCACGATGGCCGCCTTGGGCAGGCCGGTGGTGCCCGAGGTGTAGATGTAGAACAGACGGTCTGGGACGAGAAAATGGGGCAAAATCAGGGGAAATCGGGAAAAACGGGGATAAAAACGGGGAAAAAACGGGGAAAAAACTGGGAAAAAATGGAGAAAATTGGGGAAAAATGGGGGAAATTGGGGAAAAATGGGGGAAATTTGGGATAAAATCGGGGAAAATTGGGGAGAAATGGGGAGAAATCGGGCAAAATCAGGGGAAATTGGGAAAAATGGGGATAAAATTGGGGAAATTGGGGAGAAATTGGGGCAAATCACGCGAAATCGGGAAAAAATGGGGGAAATTGGGGGGAAATGGGGAGAAATCGGGCAAAATCAGGGGAAATTAAGAAAATAATGGGGATAAAATTGGGGAAATTGGGGAAAATCAGGGAAAATGGGGATCAAGTTGGGGAGAAATGGGGCAAAATCAGGGGAAATTGGGAAAAAATTGAGAAATTGGGGAAAATCGGGGAGAAATGGGAATAAAATTGGGGAAAAATCAGGGGGAAATCTGGGAAAATTGGGGAAATTGGGGAAAATCAGGGAAATGGGGGGAAATTTCAGGGAGAAATGGGGATAAAATTGGGGAAAATTGGGGAAAAATCAGGGGAAATCGGGGGAAATTGGGAAATTGGGGAAAATCAGGGAAGAATTTGGAAAAAATGGAGGAAAACGGGGAAAATCAGGGAAAACTACAGAAAAATCAGGGGAAAATTGGGTGGAAAATGGGAAAAAAAGGGGGGGAAATCGGGGAAAATCAGGGGAAATCAGGAAAATGGGGGGAAATACCAAAAATCATGGAAAATGGGGGGAAAATGGGGGAAATGGGGGAAAAAACATGGGAAATTGGGGTGGGGAACAAACTGGGGAAAATGGGGGAAATTTTGGGGGAAATGGTGGAAAATGGGGAAAAATCAGGGAAGAATTAGAGAAAATTAGGGAAAAAATCAGGGAAAAATCAGAGGAAATTCAGAGGAAATTCAGAGGAAATTCAGAGGAAATCGGGAAAAATGGGGGAAAATGGGAAAAAAATCAGGAGCGAGGAAATTGTGAGAAAATCAGAGGAAAATCAGAGAAAAATTAAGGGAAAATGGGGTAAAAATCAGGCAAATTTGAGGAAAAATTAGGGGAAAGATCAGGGTAAAATGGTGGAAAATCAGGGAAAATCAGGGAAAATAGGGAGAAATGGGGGGAAATTTGGGAGAAATGGGGGGAAATCAGGTTAAATGGGGGAAAATGGGGAAATTGTGGAAATTAGGGAAAAATTAGGGAAAATCTGGGAGAAAAATCAGGGAAAAATCAGGGAAAATCAAGGGAAATATTAGGGGAAAATCGGGGGAAATTGTGGAAAATTAAGAAGAAATCAGTGAAAAATTGGGGAAAATTATGGAAAAATCCAGGGAAATCAAGGGAAGATTGTGGGAAAACGGGAGAAAATCGGGGGAAATTGGGAAAAATTAGGGGAAAATGGGGGAAATTGTGGGAATTTTGTACCGTCCATGCCCTTGCCGGGCCCGTCCTGCAGGGGCGTTTTGGGGGCTCTCTCCAGGAGGGGCTCCAGGGCCTGGGTCCCCTCTGGGATGGGCCCCAAATCCGGGGGGCCCCAGGAGAATTTCTGCAGCCTCGGGCCCAGGGCAGAGCTCACCTCGGAGAGGGCTGCAAAAAACGGGAGAAAATTCCTCAAAAACGGGAGAAAATTGCACTGGAAAATTGGATTTATCGTGGAAAAAAAAAAATTGATTTTTAAATGGGGGGAAGTCCCTGAAAAATGGGGTGAAATTCCTTAAAAATGGCCCCTCCCTGCTCACCTGAGCCCACCTGAGCCCCTCTCTGCCCATCCCTGCTCACCTGAGCCCCTTCCCCAGCTCACCTGTGCCCACCTGTGCCCACCTGTGCCCTTCCCCAGCTCACCTGTGCCCACCTGTGCCCACCTGTGCCCTTCCCCACCTCACCTGTGCCCACCTGTGCCCTTCCCCACCTCACCTGTGCCCACCTGAGCCCACCTGTGCCCTTCCCCACCTCACCTGAGCCCACCTGTGCCCTTCCCCAGCTCACCTGTGCCCACCTGTGCCCACCTGTGCCCTTCCTCACCTCACCTGTGCCCACCTGTGCCCTTCCCCAGCTCACCTGTGCCCACCTGTGCCCACCTGTGCCCTTCCCCACCTCACCTGTGCCCACCTGTGCCCTTCCCCACCTCACCTGTGCCCACCTGTGCCCTTCCCCACCTCACCTGAGCCCACCTGTGCCCACCTGTGCCCTTCCCCACCTCACCTGAGCCCCTCCCTGCCCACCTGTGCCCACCTGTGCCCACCCTCTCTCACCTGCTCCCAGCTCAGTGCCGAACACCACAGCCTGTGCGCCTGCGCAGGTGATGCCGTGCAGCAGCCCCTCCCCGCGCAGGTGCGAGCTGTGCCCACCCTGCTCACCTGAGCCCTTCCCCACCTCACCTGTGCCCACCTGAGCCCACCTGTGCCCACCTGTGCCCACCATCTCTCACCTGCTCCCAGCTCAGTGCCGAACACGATTGCCCGTGCGCGCTGCGCAGGTGATGCCGTGCAGCAGCCCCTCCCCGCGCAGGTGCGAGCTCAGCAGCGCCGCCTCCGCGCCGGCCTTGGCCCAGCCGAGCCAGAGCGCCACGAACTCGGGCCGGGACTCCATGAACACGGCGACCACGGCGCCGGCGCCGAGCCCGCGGCCGCGGCACAGGTGCGCCAGCGCGTCGGACACCCGGTCCAGGTGCGAGAACGACCACGCCGCGCCCGACGCCGCGTCCACCAGCGCCGCCTTGGCCGGGACGCGCCGCGCCACCGCCGCCGAACAGCGCCGGCACCGAGCGGCACCGGCGGCGGTGCCGGGACAGCTGGAACCGCACGCGGAGCAGCACGTACAGGCCGCTGAAACGGGGAAAAAAGAGAGAATTTCGGTGAAATTCTGGGGATTTTGTAGTGAAATTTGGGGGGTTTACAGTGAAATTTGGGGTTTTTATGGGGATTCAGGGCCCTGGGACAGCGCCGGGACAGCTGGAACCGCACACGGAGCAGGACCCAAAGGCCGCTGAAACGGGGAAAAAAGAGAGAATTTCGGTGAAATTCTGGGGATTTTATAGTGAAATTTGGGGGGTTTACAGTGAAATTTGGGGTTTTTATGGACATTCAGGGCCCTGGGACAGCGCCGGGACAGCTGGAACCGCACGCGGAGCAGGACCCAAAGGCCGCTGAAACGGGGAAAAAAGAGAGAATTTTGGTGAAATTCTGGGGATTTTATAGTGAAATTTGGGGTTTTTACAGTGAAATTTGGGGTTTTTTATGGGGATTTTGGGTGAAAGTTGGCGTTAAGCCATGGGAAATTTGGGTTAAAGCACAGCCAGTGCAGGACACGGAGAAGAACCCAAAGTCCACTGGAAAATGGGGAAAAAACAAGAATTTTGGTGAAATTTCGGGAATTTTAGAGGGATATTTGGGGGTTTTGGGGTGAAATTTGGGGGTTTGGGGTGAAATTTGGGGTTTTTATGGGGATTCAGGGCCCTGGGACAGTGCCGGGACAGCTGGAGCCGCACGCGGAGAAGGACCCAAAGGCTGCTGAAATGGGAAAAAAAAATGGGAATTTTGGTGAAATTCTGGGGATTTTGCAGTGAAATTTGGGGATTTTATGGGGATTTTGGGCAGAAATTGGGGTTGAACCGGAGCCGGCAGAAACGGTGCCGGACACGGAGAAGAACCCAAAGTCCATTGAAAAATGGGGGGAAAAAAAAGGGAATTTTGGCGAGAAATTTGGGGTTTTGGAGTGAAATTCCATGAATTTTGGGGTGAAATTCCATGAATTTAGGACTGAAATTCCAAGGATTTTGGAGAGCAATTCTGGGAATTTTGGGCTGAAATTTGGAGCTTCTGGAGTGAAATTCCAGGGATTTTGCAGAGAAATTCTGGGAATTTTGGACTGAAATTTGAGGGTTTTGGAGTAAAATTCCACGAATTTTGGAGAGAAATTCTGGGAATTTTAGGCTGAAATTTGAGGGGTCTGGAGTGAAATTTGGGGATTTTATTGGAATTTTGGGGGCCTTGCACTGAAATTTGGGATTTTTCAGGATTTGTGGATTGGAGCCAGTCACGGAGCAGCACCCAGAGCCTGCTGGAAAATGGGGAAAAAAATGGGAATTTTGGGCAAATTTCTGGGAATTTCATGGGAATTTGGGGGAGAAATTGGGAATTAAACTCAACCAAAATTGGAATTAGTCGGGATTAAAGTTGTGATTAAAGCAGGGAGAATTTAATTTTAACTCTGGAGTTAAATTCAACCCCAGGCTCGAGGTGACCCCGGGCTAAAATTAAACCGGGCTAAAATTAAATTAAAGGAGAAGGAAATTAAACTGGGCTGGAATTGAAATTTTGAATTAATTCAAATTAAACTGGGCTGGAATTGAAATATTGAATTAATTCAAATTAAACTGGGCTGAAATTTAAATATTTAATTAATTCAAATTAAACTGGGCTGAAACTAAAATTATTGGGGTTTTGCTGAGGGGTTTCCACATTTTGTATTATTTTAGGGGGATTTTCCACATTTTCCATGGTTTTCCCTATTTTCCACCATTATTTAACCTCTCCAAGGCATTTTTCCCAAGAAAAATTCATTTTTGGGGAGCTTTTCCCTGTTTTCCATGATTTTTTGGGGGGGAAATTCAATATTTTCTGGATTTTTGTGGCAGTTTTCTACATTTTCCATGATTTTTGAGGGGTTTTCCCTATTTCTATTATTTTTTGCTGTATTTCCATGTTTCCCCTCATTTTTGGAGATGTTTTCCCCGCAAGTTTCTCATGATTTTGAGGGAATTTCCACTTTTCCCATTGTTTTTGGGGTCTTTTTCCACATTTTCCATAATTATTTTGGGCATTTTCTTACATTTTTAATTATTTTTAAGACTTTTTTCCTATTTCCCACTTTTTTTTTTTTTTGCTGTTTTTAAGCAAACCTCATCCCCCCCAAATTTTCTGAGTTTTTCCCCTAAAATTTTAATCAGGACCCCAAAAAAAGGCCGGAATTGGGAATTTCCCTTTTCCTTTTCTTTCTTCCCACCCGGAAAATCAGGGAATTGTCGAGGCCAGAAAAGTTGGAAAAGTCCCAAATTCCCTTTTTTTTAGGGCTCCCAGGGAATTTGGAGCTGAAATTTTTTGGCAGAGGGAACAGAGGAGCCTTTGAGGGATCCCAAAAAAAAAAGAATAAAAGGAGTTTTGTTCTCCTGGATTTGGGGTTTTTTGGGGTTCCCAGGGGGAGAAAAGGGAAAATTTGGGGGTTTTTGGGATAAAATCTGGGGATTTGGGGAATTTTAGGGGGAGGATTTTAGGAGGAATCCAAATTTTTGGGGGGGATTTTGTTTTTTTTGGGGTTCCCAGGGGGAGAAAAGGGAAATTTTGGGGTTTTTTTTTGGGATGAAATCTGTGAGGTTTGGGGGATTTTAGGGGGATTTTTGGGGGCAAATCCCAATTTTAAGGAGATTTTTAGGGGGAATCCCAATTCCTGCTGAAGAAACCACAAATTTTGGGGGAAAAGGAAAATTCCTGATTTTAGGAGGCCCCAAATCCATGGGAAAAGGGGGATCCCAACCCCTGGGGGTGAGGGGAGCCCCAAATCCTTGGGAATTTGGGGGGAAAAAGGGAAATTCCTGATTTTTGGGGGGGGCTAAAATCCATGGAATTGGCAGGGGCAGGTTTGGGGTCAAAGTCAGGAATTTGGGGTCAGAATTGGAGTTTTGGGGTCAGGTTTGGGGTCAGGTTTGGGGGTTTGGGGTCAGTTTTGGGTCAGGGTCAGTGTTGGGGAGTTTTGGGGTCAGGTTTGGGGTTTTGGGGTCAGGTTTGGGGTCAGGTTTGGGGTCAGGTTTGGGGTTTTGGGGTCAGGTTTGGGGTCAAGGTCAGGGGTTTGGGGTCAAGGTCAGTTTTGGCGGGTTTGGGGTCAAAATTGGGGTCAGGTTTGGGGGTTTGGGGTCAGTTTTGGGTCAGGGTCAGTGTTGGGGAGTTTTGGGGTCAGGTTTGGGGTTTTGGGGTCAGGTTTGGGGTCAAGGTCAGGGGTTTGGGGTCAGGTTTGGGGTCAGGGTCAGTTTTGTGGAGTTTTGGGGTCAGGGGGTTCGGGAGGGACAGGGAAGTTCAGGGTTTGGGGTCAGGGGGTTTGGGATGGTCAGAATTTGGGGTTTGGGGTCAGAATTTGGGGTTTGGGGTCAGAGTTTGGGGTCAGTGGGTTTGGATGGTCAGAGCTCGTCGGGGGTTTGGGACCAGGGGGCTTTGGGGTCAGGGGGGTTCGGGAGGGTAAGAGTTTGGGGTTTGGGGTCAGGGATTTGGGTTTTGGGGTCAGAGTTTGGGGTTTGGGGTCAGGGATTTGGGTTTTGGGGTCAGAGTTTGGGGTTTGGGGTCAGGGATTTGGGTTTTGGGGTCAGAGTTTGGGGTTTGGGGGTCAAGGACTTTGGGATCAGGGGGTTCAGGAGGGTCAGAGTTCAGGGTTTGGGGTCAGGGATTTGGGGATGGTCAGAGTTTGGGGTCAGGGGGCTCAGGAGGGTCAGAGTTCGGGGTTTGGGGTCAGAGTTTGGGGTCAGGGGGCTCAGGAGGGTCAGAGTTCGGGGGTTTGGGGTCAGAGTTTGGGGTCAGGGGGTTCAGGAGGGTCAGAGCTCAGGGTTTGGGGTCAGGGATTTGGGTTTTGGGGGTCAGAGTTCGGGGTTTGGGGGTCAGAGTTCGGGGTTTGGGGTCAGAGTTTGGGGTCAGCGGGGTCAGTGCCGGCCTTGGGGACAGAGGGGGTCAGCGTGGCTCAAAGCGGGGTCACCGGGGGGGTCCCGCCCGATGTCCCCTCACTGTCCCCGGTGTCCCCCAACCCCGCCCCGGGTGTCCCGGTGTCCCCAAGCCCCTCCCGGAGTCCACAAGCCCTCCCGGTGTCCCCCAAACCCCCCCCGGTGACTCACAAGAGGTCTCTCGGTGCCGTTTTCACGATGATCCGGAGCGGCCGCCACCCCCCGGTGCCCAGCCCCAGCCCCAGCGCCGTCCCCCCGGTATCCCCGGTGTCCCCAAGCCCTTCCCGGTGTCCCCGAACCCCCCCGGTGACTCACAAGAGGTCTCTCGGTGCGGTTTTCACGAGGATCCGGAGCAGCCGCCACCCCCCGGTGCCCAGCCCCAGCCCAGCGCCGTCCCCCCGGTATCCCCGGTGTCCCCCAAGCCCTTCCCGGTGTCCCCGAACCCCCCCGGTGACTCACAAGAGGTCTCTCGGTGCGGTTTTCACGAGGATCCGGAGCAGCCGCCACCCCCCGGTGCCCAGCCCCAGCCCCAGCCCCGTCCCCCCGGTATCCCCGGTGTCCCCAAGCCCTCCCGGTGTCCCCGGTGACTCACAAGAGGTCTCTCGGTGCCGTTTTCACGATGATCCGGAGCAGCCGCCACCCCCCGGTGCCCAGCCCCAGCCCCAGCGCCGCCGCCGCGCTCCAGCCCCACGGGGCCCCGAGCAGCCGCAGCAGCCCCAGCGAGCCCAGCGAGAGCGCGACCGGCCCCGCCGGGTGCATGGCACCGGCACACCGGGAACACCGGGGCAACGGGGGGAAATGGGGGTAACGGGGGAGAACAGGATAATGGGGGTAACGGGATACCCGGGATAACGGGATAACCGGGAAAATGGGGTAACCAGGATAACGGGGGTAACGGGAGTAACGGGAGTGACAGGGGTGACGGGATCACCGGGATAATGGGAGTACCGGAATAACCGGGATAATGGGGGTAACCGGGATAGAGGGATAACGGGGGCAACAGGGGGAACCGTGATAACCGGGGGAAAACCGGGAACGGGATGGGGGAATGGGAACCGGGATGGGGAACGGGAACCGGGATGGGAGAGCGGGGAACCGGCCGGGAGCGGGGACCGAGATGGCGGAAGGGGCTAACGGGGACCCGGACGGAGCCGGGACGGGGGGGAAGGATCCGGTTCGGGGCTCAGGAGGGAACCGGGATGGGGGAACGGGAGCCGGGAACCGGCAGCGACCGCGGCTGGGAGAGGCAGCGGCGGCGGGGAAGCTCCGGGGACCGGGCAGAGGCTGCGGGGCTGGCTCGGGGCTCCGAGGGTCGGGTCGGGGCTTCTGACGGGATCCGGGACGCGGCTCCGGGGCCGGCTCAGGCCTCAGCGCTGGCTCCGGGGGTCGGTTCGGGGACTCCGGGCCCGCTCCGGTTCTCCCGGGGGCTCCGGGGATGGCTCCGGGCCCGCTCCGGTTCTCCCCGGGCCCTCTCCGGTTCTCTCCGGGGCCGCTCCGGGGCCCCCGAGGCCTCCCCGGGGCCCTCCCGGCGCGGCCGCGGCTCCGCAACCGCCGCCGCTCCCGCCCCGCCGCCCGCCGCCGCCGCCTCAGGGGAGGCCACGCCCACAATGGGTGCGGCTTATGGGAACGGCGCATTCCTATTGGTTGGCCGCGCGGCTGGCGGCTGCTGATTGGGTGAGGCGTGAGGAGGGGAAAAGAGGGAGGGGCTAGGGTGAAATGTGGGTGGGGTTATGCAGATATAGGCGGGGTTATGCAAATATGGGGTGGGGGTTACGGCGCCATGCGCTGTTCGCGCCCCCTAGCGGGCGGAGGTTTGGGGGGGACAACCCCCCCAAAATCGTGACCCCCCCAAAATCGGAAGCCCCGAAAATTGGGACCCCACAGTCCCAGAACCCCCAAAATCAGGAGCGTTCCAAGTTTGGGGGCCCCCTCAAAATCGGGGACTCCCCAAAATTGGGAGCCTATGGACCCAGAACACCCAAAATCGGGAGCACTTTGGGGACCCCAAAACCGGGACCCCCAAAACTGCGACCCTACAGCCCCGGGACCCCCCAAAATTGAGACCCCACAGCCCAGAACCCCCAAAATCAGGAGCACTTCAGGTTTGGGGACCACCCCAACATCGAGACACCCCAAAATCGGGACCTGTCCAGGTTTGGGACCCCAAAAACTGCGACCTTATAGGCCCGGGACCCTCAAAATCGGGACCCCCAAATTGGGGACCCCACAGCCCGCGACCCCCCAAACCAAAACCTCAAAACCGGGCCCCTCACCCCAAAACCGGGATCCCCCAAAACCAAAACGGGGACGCCAAAACCAAAACCTCAAAACGTCGGGACCTCTTCTCCAAAACCGAGACCCCCTCCTCAAAATAGGGACCCCCAAAACCAAAACCCCAAAACCTCGAGGCCCCCGCCACTTTGGGGACCCCAAAACTGGGACCCCACAATCTCGGGACCCCCACCCCATAACCAGGACCCCCAAAACCAAAACCTCACAACCCGGGGACCCCCACCCCGAAACCGGGAACCCCCCCCCAAACCGGGACCCCCAAAACCAAAACCGGGACCCCCCTCTCTGAACCCCAAAACAAAAACCCCAAAACCCCAGGAACCCTTCCCCAAAACCGGGACCCCCAAAATCAAAGCCCCACAACCCTGGGACCCCTCTTTAAAACCAAAACCCCAAAATTGGGACCCCCCAAGGCCGGGACCCCTCCCCCACCCTCCCGCCCCTCCCCCACGGCGCCCTTAATCGGATTTGCCCCAATCCCAAATCCCAAATCCCAAATCCGAGACCGGAGGCGACCCCGGGGGGCTCCGCCCTTTAAAAAAAATCCTTTATTTTCGGGGTTTCACCCCTTTTTTGGGGGTTCCATCCGTTTTTGGGGGGCTCCATCCGTTTTTGGGGGGTTTCCATCCATTTGTGGGGCGCGGGGGTCCATCCTTTTTTGGGAGTTTTCATCCGTTTTGGAGGGGGTTTTCATCCCCATTTCTTTGGATTTCCATTCATTTGTTGGGGTATCCATTCCTTTTTTAGGGGGTTTGCATCCTTGTTTTTTGGGGTCTCCATTCCTTTTTTGGGGTCTCCATCCATTTTTTGGGGTATCCATTCCTTTTTTTGGGGGGCTTTTCATCCCATTTTTGGGGGGGTTAATCCCCTTTTTGGCGAATTGTCCATCCATTTTTGTAGGGGTTTCCATCCCATTTTTGGGGGGGATTTTCATCCCCATTTGTCCCCCCCCCCGATTCTTTTTTTGGGGGTTCCATCCCATTTTTGAGGGGTTTTCATCCCCATTGTTTTGGGGATTTCCATTCCTTTTTTTGGGGCCTCCATCCATTTTTTGGGGTCTCCATTCCTTTTTGGGGGGGATTTTCCCATCCATTTTTGGGGGTTTCCGTCCATTTTGGGGTGTCCATCCCATATTTTTGGGGCTTCCATCCATTTTTATCCCCCCGATTCTTGTTCTGGGGGGGTTCCATCCTTTATTTTGGGGGGTTTACATCCCTTTTTGGGGTTTCACCCCATTTTTTTGGGATAAAATCCCACTTTTTTGGGCTAGACCCCCATTTTTTAGGGTAACTCACCACTTCTTGGATTAAACCCTTATTTTTTTACCCCCACTTTTAGGGATAAAATCCTACCTTTTGGATAAATCCCCCATTTTTGGGATAAACTCCCAGGGTTTTGTTTATAGAATACCCATTTTTAGGGATAAAATCCCACCTTTATTTTTTATAAGCTCCCCATTTTTGGGATAAATTCCCCGTTTTTTGGCATAAAATCCCAATTTTTTCAATAAAACCCCAAATTTTTTAACAAATCCCCCAATTTTTTGGGATAAATCCCCAATGTTTTGGGATAAACTCCTCATTTTTTGGGATAAAATCCCATTTTTTGGGGATAAAATCCCATTTTTTGGGGATAAAATCCCAATTTTTTTGGATAAAATCCCATTTTTTGGGATAAAATCCCATTTTTTGGGATAATTTCTCCATTTTTTTGGGATAAAATCCCATTTTTTGGGATAAAATCCCTTTTTTTGGGGATAAATTCTCCCATTTTTTGGGATAAAATCCCATTTTTTGGGATAAAATCCCATTTTTTGGGATAAATTCTCCATTTTTTTGGGCTAAATCCCATTTTTTGGGATAAAATCCCTTTTTTTTGGGATAAAATCCCATTTATGGGATAAACTCCCCATTTTTGGGGATAAAATCCCATTTTTTGGGATAAACTCCCCATTTTTGGGGGGGTAAATTCCCCATTTTTTGCCCCCCCATGGCCCTGGGACCCCTCCCCCAGCCCCTCCCGCCCCTCCCCCTCCCCCGCCGTTAATTAACCCGTTAATGAATCCCTTAACTTAATCCGCTCGCGGTTAATCCCAGCTCGGCAGGGAGCCGGGAGGGAGCTGCTGCTCCTTCTGGCCGAGATTTTTTGGGAAAAATTCCCATTTTTGCCTTTCTTTTTCCTCCACCAGGGCTCTTTTTTGGGGGTGGATAAATCCCCATTTTCTAAGGATAAATTCCCATTTTTTTTAGGGATAAAATCTTCATTTTTTAGGGCTAAACTCCTATTTTTTTTAGATATAAAATCCATTTTTTTTAGCACTAAAACCCCCACTTTTGGCGGATAAATCCCCAATTTTTTTCGGGATAAACTCCCCATTTTTTTTTTGATAAATCCCCATTTTTTTTTATAGGGATAAATTCTTCCTTTTTTAGGGACAAACTCCTTTTTTTAGGGATAAAAAGACCATTTTTTAGGGATAAAACCTCCCTTTTTTACGGATAAACTCCTATTTTTTAAGGGATAATCTCCTATTTTTTTAGGGATAACTCCAAATTTTTAGGGATAACCTCCCCCAATTTTTAGGGATAATGCCCCCATTTTTACCTTGGAAAAATCCCATTTTTACCTCTAAACCCCCAATTTTCTTAAAACAAAACCTCCCTTTTTAATGCTAAACCCCCGATTTTTTCAGAGATAAATCCCCATTTTCTCAGTGATAAACCCCCTCATTTTTACCTCAGCACTCCCAATTTTTACCTTGAAAAAACCCCATTTTTACCTTGAAAAATCCAATTTTTAGCCCTAAAAACCCCATTTTTTTAGTGACAACCCCCCATTTTTTTCTCCCCATTACCATTATTATTATTACTAATTTTTTTAAAATAATATTATTGCTTTTTACCCCCGTTATTTCCATGGCGTGGTCGCTGTTCTCGGGGCGGGCGCTGGCTGTGGCGGCGCTCGGAGCGGCGCCTGGACAATTTTTACCTCTAAACCCTCGATTTTTTTCAGAGATAAACCCCCCATTTTTCAGTGATAAACCCCCATTTTTTCAGCTATAAACCCCTCATTTTTACCCTGAAAAATCCCATTTTTTGGCTCTGAAAAATCCCATTTTTTTAGTGACTACCCCCCGTATTTCCCCACTACCGCTATTACCGCCATCACTATTAATTATCACCAATCGCCCCGATGGCGTGGTCGCTGTTCGCGGGGCGGGCGCTGCTGTGGCGGCGCTCGGAGCGGCGGCGCTGGACACGGAGCGGGAGCTGCGCGCGGGCGCTGGACAATCGGCTCGTGCTGCTCTTCTTCGGCGCCGCGCGCTGCCCGCGCTGCCGCGAGTTCGAGCCCCGCCTGCGCCGCTTCTGGAGCCGCCTCACGGACCCCGCGCACGTGGAGCGGCCCGAGCAGCTGCGCCTGGTGTACCTGGGCAGGACAGGAGCGAACGGGAGCACCGCGAGTACCTGAGGGCCATGCCCCGCACCTGGATGGCGCTGCCCTACCGGGACGCTGCATTCGGCAGGTGAGGGACAGGTGGGACAGGTGAGGGACAGGTGGGACAGGTGAGGGGCAGGTGGGACACGGGCAGCTGCGCCTGGTGTACCTGGGCCAGGACAGGAGCGAACGGGAGCACCGCGAGTACCTGAGGGCCATGCCCCGCACCTGGATGGCGCTGCCCTACCGGGACGCTGCATTCGGCAGGTGAGGGACAGGTGAGGGGCAGGTGGGACAGGAGCAGCTGTACCTGGTGTACCTGGGCCAGGACAGGAGCGAGAGGGAGCACCGCGAGTACCTGAGGGCCATGCCCCGCACCTGGATGGCGCTGCCCTACCGGGACGCTGCATTCGGGCAGGTGAGGGGCAGGTGGGACAGCTGAGGGACAGGTGGGGACAGGTGAGGGGCAGGTGGGACAGGAGCAGCTGTACCTGGTGTACCTGGGCCAGGACAGGAGCGAGAGGGGAGCACCGTGAGTACCTGAGGGCCATGCCCCGCACCTGGATGGCGCTGCCCTACCGGGACGCTGCATTCGGCAGGTGAGGGGCAGGTGGGGACAGGTGAGGGGCAGGTGGGGACACCTTTGGCAGGTGTGGAAAGGTGGGAAGGTGAATGGAATAGGTGAGGAGATCATTTCGGGGTCTCTCAGCTCCCGGCCGTGCTGCTCCTGGCTCCCAGCGGGGCCGTGCTGGTCCCCATCCCCTGGTTCCCCATTTCTCCCATTCTCTGAATTTCCCCCAGATTTTCCCAATCCCATTTTCCCCATTTTTCTGAGTTTTCCCCCCATTATTTCCCCCCAATCCCAGGGAGCTGGCAGACCGTTTCGGGGTGTCGGATCTCCCGGCCGTGGTGGTGCTGGCCCCCAGCGGGGCCGTGCTGGTCGCCGACGCCGTGCGGGAGATTCGCGACTCGGGCCCCTCGTGCTTCCAGGGCTGGCGCCAGGCGGCCGAGCTGCTGGACAGGAACTTCCAGGAGCCGCAGGAGCAGGAGCGCGAGGGATCCGCGCCCTTCCGCAGCCTCACCGAGCCCCTGCGCCGCTGGAAGTACCAAATCCACCCCGAGGACGAGGAGGAGGAGGAGGAGGAGGAGGAGGAAGAGCAGCAGGAGTAGAGGCTGGGCCCTAAGTGCTGGAAGGGAGGAGGAGGAACGGCAGCTCCAGTTCCGGCCTTTCCATTGGAGGAACCCACCCAAAATCGCATCGGTTTTCCCAAAAATGGAAGAGGAGGAGGAGGAGGAGGAGGAGGAGGAAGAGGAGGAGGAGGAGGAGGAGGGAGGAGGAGGAGGTGAGGAGTAGCGGATTCCAAGATGGATCCAACCAGCAATGGCCTCTCCATTGGAGGAACCCAGCCAAAATCGCGGAAATTTTCCCCTAAACAAGGAGGGAAGAGGAAGAAGAGGAGGAGGAGGAAGAGGAGGAAGAGGAAGAGGCCCTGGGGTGGATCCAGCTGGGAACGGCAGCTCCGGTTGTGGCTTCTCCAGGAGCAGGAGCGCGAGGGATCCGCGCCCTTCCGCAGCCTCACCGAGCCCCTGCGCCGCTGGAAGCACCAAATCCACCCCGAGGAGGAGGAGGAGGAGATAGGGGAGGAAGAGCAGCCGCAGTAGAGGCTGGGCCCTAAATGCTGGAAAAACGAGGGAAGGGAAGGACGGCAGCTCCAGTTTCAGTGTCTCTGTTGGAGGAACCCACCCAAAATCGCATCAGTTGCCCCAAAAATGGAGGAGGAGGAGGAGGAGGAGGAGGAGGAGGAGGAGGAAGAAAGTGGAGAGGAAGGGCAGCCGGAGAAGAACCTTCCATTGGAGGAAACCACCCAAAATCCTGGAAATTTTCCCAAGAAAATAAAGGAAGAAGAGGAAGAAGAAGAAGAGGAGGAGGTGGAGGAGGAGGAAGAGGAATGGCAGCTCCGGGTTCTGACTTCTCCATTGAAGGAAGCCACCCAAAATCCTAATTTTCCCAAAAAAATAAGGGAAGAGGAGGAAGAGGAGGAGGAAGAGGAAGGGCAGCAGGAGTAGAGGCTGGGTCCCCAAATCCTGCTGGGTTTCATGGAAAAGTGAGGAGGAAGAGGAGGAGGAACGGCAGCTCCATTTTCAGCCTCTTCGTTGGAGGAACCCACCCAAAATCCCATTGGTTTTCCCAAAAATAGAGGGAAGAGGAAGAGGAAGAGGAAGAGGAAGAGGAAGAGCAGCAGGAGTAGAGGTTGGAGACAAAATCCTGGAAATGAGGGAAGAGAGGAGGAGGAACGGCAGCTCCATTTTCAGCCTCTCCTTTGGAGGAACCCACCCCAAATCCCGGAAATTTTCCCCAAAAAACAAGAGAAGAGGAGGAGGAAGAGGAAGAGGAAGAGGAGTAGAGGTTGGACCCCAAATCCTGGTGGGTTTCGCTGAAAAGCGAGGAAGAAGAGGAGGAAGAGGAGGAGGAAGAGGAGGAGCAGATTCCAGGATGGATCCAACCAGCAATGGCCTCTCCATTGGAGGAACCCACCCCAAATCCCGGAAATTTTGGAGGTTTTTTGGGGATCTTTTCGATTTTTTTTTTTTTTTTTTTTTTTTTTGCATTTTGAGGGGATTTTTGGAGGGTTTTTTTGGGAATTTTTGGGAGGATTTTTTTGGTTTTTTGGAGATTTTTTTGGGGAATTTTTGGAGGGTTTTTTTGGGGATTTTTGGAGGATTTTTGGGGTTTCTTGGGGATTTTTTTTTAGGTTTTTTTTTTTTTTTTAATTTTTGCAGGTTTTTCCATGGTTTTTGCAGGTTTTTTTGGGATTTTTTGGAGGTTTTTCTGGGATTTTTTGGAGATTTTTTTGGGATTTTTGTGGAGGGTTTTTTGGGGAATTTTTGGAGGGTTTTTTGGGAGGGGTTTTTTGTTGGGGATTTTTTGGAGGGTTTTTAAATTTTTTGGAGGTTTTTGGGTGTGGCCCAACTCTGCAGCGTCGGGAACTTGTTCCACGAGAGAGGATTGTGGGGGTGAGGAGAATTCTGGATTCCCTGGGGGTTCCAGTGTGGGAATTTTAATGGAAAACTCCTGGTGGGTCAAGGACGAAGGGATTTTGTGGGATTTGGGAGCATCTTGGAGGCTCAAAAACCAAAATTTCCATGGAAAATTCCTGGTGGATCAGGATTGAGAAGAATTTTGAGCCTTGGGGAGCTCCAGCATCCAAAATTCCATGGAAAACTCAAAACGAGGTGATTTTGTGGGATTTGGAAGAACTTTGCGTTCCTTGGGCCTCCAGAAACAAAATTCCTTGGAAAATCGTGGTGGGATCAAGGATTGAGAAGAATTTTGGAGCCCTGGGAGCTCCAGTGTCCAAAATTCCATGGAAAACTCAAGACTGAGGAGTTTTGTGGGATTTGGGAGAACTTTGGGTTCCTGGGGGCTCCAGACTGGATTTTTTCCCTGGAAAATTCCAGGATTTTTGGGAAACCCTTCGGAACAGAATTCCCATTAAAGACTGGTTTTAACCCAAAGTGGTTTTTCCTTGGAAAAGACTCGGGAATGTTCAGGAGGGGTTGGGAATTTTGAGGGTGGGATTTGGGAATTCTGAGGGCCAAAATTTCCCTGGAAAAGGCTCCAAAATCCCCCAGGATTTGGAATTCTGAGGGCAGAATTTGGGAATTGTGAGGTCAGGTTTGGGAATTCCAAGGGTGGGATTTGGAATTCTTAGGGCTGAAACTCCCCTGGAAAAGGCTCAGGAATGCCCAGGATTTGGAATTTCAAGGGCAGAATTTTCCCTGAAAAAGGTTCAGAAATCCCTGAGGATTTAGGAATTGTGAGAGCGGAATTTGGGAATTCTGAGGGCAGAATTTTCCCTGAAAATTCCACAAATCCCCGGATTTGGGAATGCTGAGAAAAAGCCAAATTTTCCCTCTTTTTTTTTTCACCTCTTTTTTTCCTGATCCTGGAAAATTTCTCCATGTGAGTTCTGGGGATTCCCCAGGGATCCCTGGGGTGGAACCAGGATTTTTCCCACCCTTGGCTGCAGAATTCCTTGGATTAAACGGGATTTTTCCAGATTTTGTGGGATTTTTCCAAGCAAAACTGAGGCTGAACACCCAAAACTGGAGTCCAGGATTTCCTCCAAAACTTGAATTGCTCCAAGTGGGAATTTTTAAGCAGCAATTTCTTGATTTTCCCATTAATTCCTTAATTTTTCCTTTTATTCCTTTCGTTTTTTCCATCAAATTATTTCATTTTTTCCCCTCTGTTTTATCCCAAAAATGGGGTCAAAGCTCGGATTCAACTCCGGAGCCTCAAAATGACTCAAAACGGGGCTGTGGCATAAAAATTCCCAAATTTTTGGGTGGAAAAGGGGTAAAATCGGAGAAATCGGGATTTATGGGGGGTGTGGCTTATGGAAGGGGTGCGGCCTAATGGGGGTGGGCGTGGCTACGGTTACCATGGAGACGCCATGTCTTTATGGGTGGGGGTCGAGAGGGCGGAAATGGCTGTTCTGAGGGCGTGGTCAGATTGGGGGCGTGGCCCACAACTAGGCGGAACCGTATAATAAAAATGGGGCGTGGTCGTGTAGGGGCGTGGTCAGAGAGATGGCGGGAATATTCGTCCCTCATGAAGGGGCGTGTTTTGTTATGGGGCGTGGCCAAGCGTAAAGGCGGGAAGGGCGTCCCCTCAAGAAAGAGGCGTGGCCTCCGTGGGCGCGGCGGGGAGGGGGCGTGGCCAGGGCTGGGCGTGACCACAACGGCGGCAGCGCGGGGGGGTCCGGTGGGGGGGTGGCTCTGTGGCCGCCGGTTCGGCGCGGCTCCTGTCGCGCCCTATCGCGATTTATCGCGCCCTGTGGCGCTGTGGCGCGCCGGGCCCGCGGCTCCAGGCCCGCCCATGGAGGCCGCGCCGCCGTTGATGCCCGGGGTGGCCCTGGCGGGGTCTCTTCCGCCAGCACCTCCCCCCGCTGCCGCCGCCAGCAGCGGGGACCCGCCGCCCTCAGGGCCGCCCTCAGGGCCGGCAGCGGGGCCAGCGCAGCACGACAGCGGCGATGTCCTGCAGCAGATCATGGCCATCACGACCAGAGCTTGGATGAGGCCCAGGCCAGGTACGGGGAGGGGACAGCGGCAACGGGGACCGGGAACACCGGCACGGCCGTGACTCAGCGCGGGGCCACCGCGGGGACACCGAGGGGACACCAAGGGACACTGAGGGGACACCGCGGGGACACTGAGGGGGGGTTTGAGGGGAAACTTCCCGCTATTCGGGGCTTTCTCGCTCCGTTCAGGGCCCCGCATCCTGGCTGATGCTCCCGTGCCTTCCCCGCGTCCTTCCCGCTCTGAGGGCAATTCACGGGGATTTGCCCCATTCCCACACGGGTTTGCCCATTGCTGAGTGTTTTTACCCCATTCCCAGGGGTTTTGCCCCATTTCCAGCGGGTTGACCCCATTGTCGGTTGTTTTTATCCCATTCCCACGGTTTTGCCACATTCCCAGAGTTTTTGCCCCCATTCCTGGTGTTTTCCCCCCAATTCCAGTGGATTTCGCCCCATTCCCAGCAGTTTTGCCCCACTTCCTTTGGTTTTGCCCCATTCCTGACGGGTTTGCCCAATTGCCAATGTTTTTGCCCCATTTCCAGGTTTTACCCCATTCCCAGGTTTTACCCCATTCCCAATGAGTTTTCTCCCATTCCCAGTGATTTTTGCTCCATTCTCAGTGACTTTTGTCCCATTCCCGAGGGGGTTTTTCCCATTCCCAGCAGTTCTGCCTGAGTTTGTCCTGCCTGACCCCCACTGGGAATGGGGCAAAACCACCAGGAATGGGGCCAAAAGCAATGGGAATGGGGGCAAAACCCACTGGGAATGGGATAAAACACACTGGGAATGGGGGCCAAAATCACCCAGCAATGGGGGCAAAAACCCACTGGGAATGAGGAAAAAACTCCAGGATTGAGAGAAAACTTCAGGACTGGAGGAAAATCTCACTGGGAATGGGGGGAAATCCCACTGGGAATGAGGGAAAATCTTCAGGAATGGGGGAAATCCCACTGGGAATTGGAAAAAACCCACTGAAATGGGGGCAAAAAGCCCAGGAATGGGAAAAGTGGAGCTTTTTGGGGCTGGAATTTTGGCCAGGATGGGGCGGGACCCTCCCCAGTTGGGGATAATTTGGAATAAATCGTGAATTTTAGGGAAAACCAGCACTGAGAATGAGCAGAATTCCAGGATTTTGGCGGGTTCTAGGTTCCGTAATTAACTGAGGGTAATTGACGCCTCATTAGCTGCTGCTCCGGGAGGGAATTGCCTCAAATCCTACAAAAATTGGGCTTTTTTGGGGGGTGTTTTTCCTAATTCCCACGGTTTTTGGGGAGCTGGGAGTGGTCCCTATTCGGGGGGCTGATAAAAGTCCCCGGTTTTCCTTATCTTGCCCCAAAATTTGGTCCCTTTTGGGGTGCGGCAGCCCCAAATTCCAGCTGTTTCTATGGATTATTCGCAATTTCAGGAGGAGTTTTCCCTCCAAACCCTCAAATTTTGGGACGAAAGTAATTTTTTGGGTTGTTTTTTGGGATGGAATTGTCAATTTTCCCTCCAAAATTCCCTTTTTTTCCCTTGTTTTGGGCATTCCCCATCAGCAGCTCCTGTAGGGTTCCCTAAATTTGGATTTCATGGAAAACTGATGAGAATTTTGGGATATTCGGGATAATTTTGAGTTTGTTGGGAGTTTTATTTCTCACAAATTGAGGATTGAGCTTTTTTAACCCAAATCCCCTTTCAATATTAACCCAAACCCAGCCATGTGCTTCCCAATTTTCCAGCATTTCAGTGGAAAATCCACTTTTATTTCCCCCTGCCTGCAAAGTTTGCTGGACTTGAGGCGTTCCACCCGTTAATTAGGGATTAATTAATAATTTTCCTATTAAAATGCAAATTTTTGGGGGTTGCCAAGCCCTTGTAAAGTCCCAAAATTGGGAATTTTAAGATCCAAGCTCCCAGTTTAGGACGGGAAGCGGAAGCGGCAGGGAGGAGCCGGGAGGGACTTAATAATGAATAATTAATTACTAATTAATTATTAATTACCTAATTAACCAGCGCTGCCTTCGGGGACCTAAAGCGAAGGTTTTAGCCCCAGAATGGGGGGGTTTTGGTGAGATTTTTCCCTCACATTCCCGTTTTTTTTGAGGACAATGGGATCGGAGCCGCCTTTGTTCTCCGGCCGCGGCTCCGGGTTTTTCTTTTCCCGCCTTTTTTTTTTTTTTTTTTTTAAGGTAAAATCCCGAATTTTTGGACCAAACCTGCGAGGTTCTGAGGGAAAAATTCCCAAGATTTGAGGGGAAATCTCGGGATTTGGGGCGGGGCTGATGGGGAGCCCGGATTGGGGAGGTTGGCAGGGCGGGAAAATCGGGATTTGCTGGGAAAATGAGAGAAAAGTGGATTTTTAAATGGGTTTTCTGAGGGGGAAAAGGACTCAAAAACACACAAAAAAAAGGGATTTTGGAGGGGGTTTCTACAGAGGATTTTTCCCAGTGGAATTTGGGCCCAAAGCCTGGAAAATTGGGGAATTTGGAATTATTATATTGGGGACAACATACTAACAAAAATCCATAAATTCAAGTATAAATAGATTTTTCTGAGGTAAAAGAGGGTTCAAAAGCAGCAAAAAAGAGATTTTGAGGTGGGTTTTGCATCCAGTGGATTTTTCCCGGTGTTTATTGTGGAATTTAGCCCCAAAATTCTTGAAAATTGTGACTCTTACTTCCAGAGAATTCAGATTAAACCAGAAAAAAATCCCAAAATTCCCCATTTTCCCCCTGATTTTCCCATTTTTTTGGGGATTTTCCTCACTCCCCTGCTCTTCCCATGATGTGACCCCAGTTTGGGGTTTTTTTCCATGGATTTTGGGGCTGATTTTTCCATGTTTTCTGCAGGAAGCACGCCCTGAACTGCCACAGGATGAAGCCGGCCCTGTTCAGTGTCCTCTGTGAAATCAAGGAAAAAACAGGTCTGGATTTCTCCTTTTTATTCCCATTTTTCCCTCAAATCCCACTTTTTCTCCTCAATTTCTCCCCATTCCACTTTATCCCAATTTTTCCTCACTGATTCTCCATTAAAAGTTTTGGGTTTTTTTTTAATTTTAAGCTGACAATTTGATTTTTTTGGGGTATTTTTAAGGGAGAAAAAGGAAATTTGGGGGTTGTTTTATGGGAAAATTCCAAGATTTGGGAGTTTTTTTAGGAAATTCCCTCTGGAACCTGGAAATTCCCAGGTTTTTTTCTCTACAAATCCAGAAACTTCCAAATTTTTCCCAGAAAAATTTGAAAAAAATCAACAAACCCCATATTTTTTGTTCATTTCTCCTCATTTGTTCCATTTTTTCCCCTCACACCCCACTTTAACTGAATAGGAACATCAACCTGAAATGAGGAAATCCCAAATTTTCTTCCCAAAACCACTGTAAATGACAAATCCCTCTTTTTTCCCCTGTTTTTCCACATTTCTCTCCCCCATTTTCCTCATTTTCTTCCCCCATTTTCCCCCAATTTTCCTAATTTTTTCCTGGTTTTCCCCCTTTTCTTCCCCATTTTTCCTCATTTTTTCCCCTTTTTTCCTCATTTTTGTCCCATTTTTCCTCATTTTCTTCCCCATTTCCCCTCATTTTTGTCCCGTTTTTTCCTCATTTTCCCCGATTTCCCCCTCCATTTTCCCAATTTCCCCTAATTTTCCTAATTTTCTCCCCTTTATTCACTATTTCCCCTCATTTCTTGCTCCATTTTCCCCTCATTTCCCCCCCCTTTCTTCCCCATTTCTCCTCAAATTTTCCCCATTTTCCCCCTTTTCTTCCCCATTTCCCCCTCACTTTCCCCCAATTTTCCCCCTCTTTTTTCCTCCTTTTTCCCCTCATTTCCCCTAATTTTTCCCCATTTTTCCCCCTTTTCCTTCCCCCTCATTTCTTCCCCAATTTTTCCACTTTTCTTTCCCATTTTCCCCAATTTTTCCCCTCATGTTTCCCCTCATTTTTCCCCCAATTTTTCCCCTTTTCTTTCCCATTTTCCCTCATTTTCCCCTCATTTTTTCCCCACTTTTTCCCCTCATGTTTTCCCTCATTTTTCCCCAATTTTTCCCCTCATGTTTCTCCTCATTTTCCCCCTCATTTTTCCCCAATTTTTCCCCTCATGTTTCCCCTCATTTTCCCCCTCATTTTTCCCCAATTTTTCCCCTCACGTTTCCCATTTTCCCCCTCATTTTTTCCCCAATTTTCCCCCTCATGTTTCCCTTTTCCCCTCATATTTTGCCCCATTTTCCCTCATTTTTCCCCCTTCCCATTTTCCCCTCATTTTTTCCCCATTTTCCCTCTTCTCCATTTCCCCTCATTTTTTCCCCAATTTTTCCCCTCATTTTTTCCCCAATTTTTCCCCTCATTTTCCCCCCAATTTTTCCCCTCCGTTTCCCATTTTCCCCTCATTTTTTCCCCAATTTTCCCCCTCATTTTCCCCCAATTTTTCCCCTCACGTTTCCCATTTTCCCCTCATTTTTTCCCCAATTTTTCCCCTCATTTTCCCCCAATTTTCCCCTCACGTTTCCCATTTTCCCCTCATTTTCCCCCATTTTTTCCCCTCACGTTTCCCATTTTCCCCTCATTTTTTCCCCAATTTTTCCCCTTTTCTTTCCCATTTTCCCCAATTTTTCCCCTCATGTTTCCCCTCATTTTTCCCCCAATTTTTCCCCTTTTCTTTCCCATTTTCCCCTCATTTCCCCCTCATTTTTTCCCCAATTTTTCCCTCATGTTTCCCTCATTTTTCCCCAATTTTTCCCCTCACGTTTCCCATTTTCCCCCTCATTTTTCCCCAATTTTTCCGCTCACGTTTCCCATTTTCCCCCTCATTTTTCCCCAATTTTTCCCCCTCATGTTTCCCATTTTCCCCCTCATATTTTGCCCCATTTTCCCCTCATTTTTCCCCCTTCCCCATTTTCCCCTCATTTTTTCCCCATTTTCCCTCTTCTCCATTTCCCCTCATTTTCTTCCCCAATTTTTCCCTCATTTTTCCCCAATTTTTCCCCTCACGTTTCCCATTTTCCCTCATTTTTTCCCCAATTTTTCCCCTCATTTTCCCCCAATTTTTCCCCTCACGTTTCCCATTTTCCCCTCATTTTCCCCCAATTTTTCCCCTCACGTTTCCCATTTTCCCCTCATTTTTTCCCCCAATTTTTCCCCTCATTTTCCCCCAATTTTTCCCCTCACGTTTCCCATTTTCCCCTCATTTTTTCCCCCAATTTTTCCCCTCACGTTTCCCATTTTCCCCTCGTTTTTTTCCCCAATTTTCCCCCAATTTTTCCCCTCACGTTTCCCATTTTCCCCTCATTTTCCCCCAATTTTTCCCTCACGTTTCCCATTTTCCCCTCATTTTTTCCCCAATTTTTCCCCTCATTTTCCCCCAATTTTTCCCCTCACGTTCCCATTTTCCCCTCATTTTTTCCCCAATTTTTCCCCTCACGTTTCCCATTTTCCCCTCGTTTTTTCCCCAATTTTCCCCCAATTTTTCCCCTCACGTTTCCCATTTTCCCCTCATTTTCCCCCAATTTTTCCCCTCACGTTTCCCATTTTCCCCTCATTTTTTCCCCAATTTTTCCCCTCATTTTCCCCCCAATTTTTCCCCTCACGTTTCCCATTTTCCCCTCATTTTTTCCCCAATTTTTCCCCTCATTTTTTTCCCCAATTTTCCCCTCATTTTCCCCCAATTTTTCCCCTCACGTTTCCCATTTTCCCCTCTCGTTTTTTCCCCAATTTTTCCCCTCATTTTCCCCCAATTTTTCCCCTCACGTTTCCCATTTCCCCCTCATTTTTTCCCCTCATTTTTCCCCTCCCGTTTCCCCTCCCGTTTTTTCCCGCCCTTTTCCCCTCAGCGCTGGCCGGCGCGGGGCCCTCCGGGGGAGGAGCCTCCGGACGCGCAGCTGCTGCGCCTGGACAACATGCTGAGGGCTGAGGGCGTGGCCGCCGCTCCCCGCCACAAACCGCCCAAAATGGGACAGGAACCCCCAAAAACCGGACAGGAACCCCCCCGAAATGGGACGAGAACCCCCCGAAATCCCCGAGGAACCCGCAAAAATGGGAGAGGAGCACGGAAAACTGGGAGGAGGAGGCGGAAATGTGGGTGTGGAGCCCGGGGCGGAGCACTCGGATTACCGAGCCAAGCTGGCCCAGATCCGGCACATCTTCCACGCCGAGCTGGACAAGTACGAGCAGGTGATCCCAGAGGGGAAATTTGAGTTTTTTGGGGGGGTTTTTGGGTTTTTTTAATTGGGTTTTGGTGGGGGGTTTGGGGAAGGGGAGGAGGGGCAGTGCGGGGTTAAAAGCGGGTTTGGAGTTAAAGGAGTTTAAAGGGGATTAAGGGGGAAATTAAAGGGAATTTAAGGGAAAATCCACAGAAATTAAAGTAAAAATTCAAGGTAACTAAAGAAAAAATTAAAAGGAGATTAAGGGAAAATCCCCCGTTTTTCCCATTTCCCCCGTAAATCCCCCATTTTTTTTCCATTTTCCCCCATTTTTTCTCAATTTTCCCCCCCTAAATCCTCCATTTTTTCCCATTTTCTCCCCTAATTCCCCCATTTTTTTCTCCTTTCCCATTTCCCCTAAATCCCCCATTTCCCCCATTTTTTCCCATTTTCCCCCTAAATTTGACATTTTTTCCCATTCCCCCATATTTTCCCCCCTAAATCCCCATTATCCTCCCCTAAATCCCCCATTTTTCCCCATTTCTCCCCTAAATCCCCCCTTCCCTCCCTAAATCTCCCATTTTTATCCTTTTTCCTCATAAATCCCCCATTTTTTTCATTTTTCCCCCATTTTTTTTTCCATTTTTCTCCATTCCCTCCTATTTTTCCCCCTAAATCCTTGTTTCCCCCCCATTTTCCCCCGTTTTTCTCCCCAAATCCCCATTTTTCCCCATTGTTTCCCATTTTTTCCCCCATTTTCCCCTAAATTTCCAATTTTCCCCCATTTTTTCCCCATTTTCCCTCCCTAAATCCCCCCATTTTTACCCCTTTTTCCCTAATAATCCCCCATTTTTTTCCATTTTTTCCCCCATTTTTTTGCCATTTTTCCCCCATTCCCCCCCTATTTCCCCCCCCTAAATCCCTATTTCTCTCCCCAAATCCCCATTTTTTCGTGTTTTTTTTCCCCCATTCCCCCCCCTTTTTTCCCCATTTTTCCCCCATTTTTTCCCCTAAGTCCCCCATTTTTTCCCCCATTTTTGCCTTAAATCCCCATTTCCCCCCCTAAATCCCCCCATTTTTCCCCGTTTCCCCCAAAATCCCCCATTTCCCCCATAAATTCCCTATATTTTTCCCATTTCCCCCCCCCATTTTTCCTCAGTTTCCCCCCCCAATCCCCCAATTTTTTCTCATTTTTCCCCCCATTTTTCCCCCTTTTTCCCCCATCTTCCCCTCTAAACCCCCATTTTCCTCCCAAAATTCCCCATTTCCCCCCTTAAATCCCCCAAATTTTTCCCCATTTCCCCCCCCTTTTTCCCCATTTTTTTCCCCCATTTTCCCCCCCCTTTTTCCCCCATTTTCCCCCATTTTTGCCCTAAATCCCCCATTTTTTCCCCCATTTTTGCCCTAAATCCCCATTTCCCCCCCCATTTTCAGGCGTGCAGCGAGTTCACGACGCACGTGCTGAACCTGCTGCGGGAGCAGAGCCGCACGCGGCCGATCGCGCCCCGCGAGATCGAGCGCATGGTGGGCGTCATCCACGGCAAGTTCAGCTCCATCCAGCTGCAGCTCAAGCAGAGCACCTGCGAGGCCGTCATGATCCTCAGGTCCAGGTTCCTCGACGCCAGGTGAGCGAGTTTTGGGGAAAAATGTGGAGTTTTGGTGAAAAAATGTGGAGTTTTGTTGAAAAAACATTGATTTTTTTGGGGGTGGGCGTCATCCATGGTAAGCTCGGCTCAAGCAGAGCTCCTGTGAGGCCGTCGTGATCCTCAGGTCCAGGTTCCTCCATGCCAGGTGAGGGAATTTTGGGGAAAAATGTGGATTTTGAATGGAAAACATGTGGATTTTTGGTGAAAAAATGTGGATTTTTGGTGAAAAAATGTGGATTTTTGTTGAAAGAACATTGATTTTTTGGGGTGGATGTCATCCATGGTAAGCTCGGCTCAAGCAGAGCTCCTGTGAGCCCATCGTGATCCTCAGGTCCAGGTTCCTCCATGCCAGGTGAGCGAGTTTTGGGGAAAAATGTGGATTTTTAATGGAAAAATGTGGATTTTTGGTGAAAAACTGTGGAGTTTTGTTGAAAAAACATTGATTTTTTGGGGTGGATGTCATCCATGGTAAGCTCGGCTCAAGCAGAGCTCCTGTGAGCCCGTCGTGATCCTCAGGTCCAGGTTCCTCCATGCAGGTGAGGGAATTTTGGGGAAAAATGTGGATTTTTAATGGAAAAATGTGGAGTTTTGGTGAAAAAATGTGGATGTTTGGTGAAAAAACATTGATTTTTTGGGTGCATGTCATCCATGGTAAGCTCGGCTCAAGCAGAGCTCCTGTGAGGCCGTCGTGATCCTCAGGTCCAGGTTCCTCCATGCCAGGTGAGGAATTTTGGGGAAAAATGTGGATTTTTAATGGAAAAATGTGGATTTTTGGTGAAAAAATGTGGAGTTTTGGTGAAAAAACAGTGATTTTTTGGGGTGGATGTCATCCATGGTAAGCTCGGCTCAAGCAGAGCTCCTGTGAGCCCATCGTGATCCTCAGGTCCAGGTTCCTCCATGCCAGGTGAGGGAATTTTGGAGAAGATTCCTCCAAAAGTAGAAAAATTTGGATATTTGGTGGAAAAATGTGGATGTTTGGTGAAAAATCTGGATTTTTGGTTTGGGTGGGCGTCATCTATGGTAAGCTTGACTCAAGCAGAGCTCCTGTGAGCCCGTCGTGATCCTCAGGTCCAGGTTCCTCCATGCCAGGTGAGGGAATTTTGGGGAAAATGTGGATTTTTAATGGAAACATGTGGATTTTTAATGGAAAAATGTGGATTTTTGGTGGAATAGATGTGGATTTTTGTGTTGAAAAAACATTGGATTTTTTGGGGTGGATGTCATCCATGGTAAGCTCGGCTCAAGCAGAGCTCCTGTGAGCCCGTCGTGATCCTCAGGTCCAGGTTCCTCCATGCCAGGTGAGGGAATTTTGGGGGAAAATGTGGATTTTAATGGAAAAATGTGGATTTTTAATGGAAAAATCTGGATTTTTAATGGAAAAATGTGGATTTTTGGTGTGAAAAAAATGTGGAGTTTTGTGTTGAAAAAACATTGATTTTTTGGGTGGATGTCATCCATGGTAAGCTCGGCTCAAGCAGAGCTCCTGTGAGCCCGTCGTGATCCTCAGGTCCAGGTTCCTCCATGCCAGGTGAGCGAGTTTTGGGGAAAAATGGGGATTTTTAATGGAAAAATGTGGATTTTTGGTGAAAAAATGTGGAGTTTTGGGTGAAAAAACATTGGATTTTTTGGGGTGGGCATCATCCATGGTAAGCTCGGCTCAAGCAGAGCTCCTGTGAGCCCGTCGTGATCCTCAGGTCCAGGTTCCTCCATGCCAGGTGAGGGAATTTTGGGGAAAAATGTGGATTTTTAATTGGAAAAAATGTGGATTTTGAATGGAAAAAATGTGGATTTTTGGTGAAAAAATGTGGATTTTGGGTGAAAAAATGTGGATTTTTGTTGAAAAAACATTGATTTTTGTGGGGTGGGCGTCATCCATGGTAAGCTCGGCTCAAGCAGAGCTCCTGTGAGCCCATCGTGATCCTCAGGTCCAGGTTCCTCGACGCCAGGTGAGGGAATTTTGGGGAAAAAATCCCTCAAATTCTGGGGTTTTTGGGGGAATAATGTGGATTTTTGGCGGAAAAAATTGAATATAAATGGATTTATTTCCCCAATAAATGGATTTATTTCCCATTTTAACCCAGAATAATTTGATTTTTTCCCCATTTTCAGGAGGAAACGTCGCAATTTCAGCCAGCAGCCACCGAGGTGCTGAATGAATATCCTGAATTGATTTATTTTCCCATTAAACCCCCAATAAATGGATTTATTTCCCATTTTAACCCCCAATAAATGGATTTATTTCCCGTTTTAACCCAGAATAATTTGATTTTTTCCCCATTTTAGGAGAAAACGTCGCAATTTCAGCAAGCAGCCACGGAGGTGCTGAACGAGTATTTCTGAGTTGATTTATTGCCCATTAAACACCCAATAAATGGATTTATTAATTAAATTAACCCGGAATAATTTGATTTATTCCCATTTTAACCCAGAATAATTTGATTTTCAGGAGGAAGCGTCGCAATTTCAGCAAGCAGGCCACCGAGGTGCTGAACGCGTATTTCTGAATGGATTTATTTCCCATTTTAACCCCCAATAAATGGATTTATTAATTAAATTAACCCAGAATAATTTGATTTTCAGGAGGAAGCGTCGCAATTTCAGCAAGCAGGCCACCGAGGTGCTGAACGCGTATTTCTGAATGGATTTATTTCCCATTTTAACCCCCAATAAATGGATTTATTTCCCATTTTAACCCCCAATAAATGGATTTATTTCCCCATTTTAAGCCCCAATAAATGGATTTATTAATTAAATTAACCAGAATAATTTGATTTTCAGGAGGAAGCGTCGCAATTTCAGCAAGCAGGCCACGGAGGTGCTGAACGCGTATTTCTGAATGGATTTATTGCCCCATTTTAACCCCCAATAAATGGATTTATTAATTAAATTAACCCAGAATAATTTGATTTATTCCCATTTTAACCCAGAATAATTTGATTTTCAGGAGGAAACGTCGCAATTTCAGCAAGCAGGCCACGGAGGTGCTGAACGAGTATTTCTGAATTGATTTATTTCCCATTAAACACCCAATAAATGGATTTATTTCCCCCAATAAATGGATTTATTCCCCATTTTAACCCAGAATATTTTGATTTAACCCAGAATAATTTGATTTTTTCCCCCATTTTCAGGAGGAAGCGTCGCAATTTCAGCAAGCAGCCACGGAGGTGCTGAACGCGTATTTCTGAATTGATTTATTGCCCATTAAACCCCCAATAAATGGATTTATTTCCCATTTTAGCCCCCAATAAATGGATTTATTTCCCATTTTAACCCCCAATAAATGGATTTATTTCCATTTTAGCCCCCAATAAATGGATTTATTAATTAAATTAACCCAGAATAATTTGATTTTCAGGAGGAAGCGTCGCAATTTCAGCAAGCAGGCCACGGAGGTGCTGAACGCGTATTTCTGAATGGATTATTTCCCCATTTTAACCCCCAATAAATGGATTTATTTCCCATTTTAACCCCCAATAAATGGATTTATTTCCCATTTTAGCCCCCAATAAATGGATTTATTAATTAATTAACCCAGAATAATTTGATTTTCAGGAGGAAGCGTCGCAAT